GGTGTAGAGGGTTTTAGGGTTTAGGGATTAGGGCTTTAGGGCCGTGAGAGAGATGGTTTAAGGGCTCGGTTCAACATGTTTGCACGCAAACATGTGGTTCAAAATGCTGCGTTGTTGCAGTACTTGACTGGGGAGAATAGGTTTTCTTGTTCTAAACCCTAAACCCTGGAGCAAGTCACCATGTGCGAATTCCTTGGGAGGAGAGAGTCCTGAGTTGCCTTTTTGAGGGCTTTGGTGCTGGCCCGTAAGAAAAAGGCCAACGCTTGATAGCGGGGCTTACGAATGTTTAGAGGTTTAGGGTTTAGGGCGTTTCTTGACAATGCAGTGGTACAGCTACGTGAAACACGCGAATGAGGACAGTTGTGAAGGGGCCACAGCACAGGGAAGGGGAAGATCTGAGCAACGAATAACCTTATATTAGCAGAATCCACTGGGTTGCTGTCAGGGAACTTAAACTAAGTTATCATAATGGGTATATATAGCATTAATGTGGTTTCCCCATTTTTGTAACTCAAAGTAAGTTCCATAATAACAACCCAGTCCGGGTCTTGATGTTGCAGGGTGATACAGAAGTACAAGAAAGCTGACCGCTATCGAAAGACGAAAACCACCCGCAGGGCAGAAAGGTGTGAATGATTTCTGCAACAAATACTGATGACAAGTAATGCAGAAAGACAACCACCCACACCGCCTTGGAAGGGGCGAAGATCTAAATGGCCTTGGCAAACATGCGGATGGACAAAAAGGGAGACAACCACCCACGCCATGGGGAAAAATCTGAACGACCTCCGCAAACAGAGGTCTCTGACAGTTGCGGCAGGAAATTCTCACAACATCCCACAACTCAAGGTGGAACATTCACACGTGAAGTAAGGTCGAAGGCTCTCACGTGGGCCATATCACAACATCTATTCTGAGGCAATTGCAAACCTCTCAGAGACTTGAGAACTTCAGCTTCATGTTCCTGGGATAATTGGAATGGAGGATGTGAGGCTCTGCACAGAGAAGCCGCAGAGGTCCTCGGGGTGTCGACTTCCGACTTTTTTCCACAGGTCCCACGTCAAATCAAATCATACAAAAGGGGATCCTGACGAGAACATGTTTGCGGACGGGTGATGAAGCTTGCCAAGCTTCCCTGCAAAGTCCCTCCCACAGCGACGCGTCCATTTGTCAACTCCTGCTATGTGATTAGCATTCCTAAGCAGCGTAAACCCTAAGCCCACACTATCCGACAACAGGGATATTCAATGTTAGGGGCGTAGATGGCAGCTCACAGGCATGGATATCCTTCTCTGGGTTACCATCAGTTCATTGCCCAGAAGCACGCTTGGCCAGTTACTGGCAGAAAGCCCTGTGTTTCGATCAAGGGCCATCAGGCGAAGAATCAAAGCTTACTTTGAGAGACACTGAAGCCCCAACCCTAAGCCCTAAACCCTAAACCCTAGGCTTGCCAAAATCCACATGCTTCATTCACTTTCCCGAGGGTTTAGGGTTTAGGGTACCACTCTCATGAATTTGACCCGAAGCAAAGAGCGCAGGAAAGAGGGGGAGGGAGGAGAACGACTGAAAGGGGCAACATGCCTCCAACAACCTAATATCGCCAATGCTATATATAGTAGCTTCCTTCTTCTTGTCCATTATTCCTATAGTGCCCTTATACAATCCCAGCACAAGCCCATTTGCATCACCCACGGGCTTTCTTTGATAACTGCAGCACATGGGCCTGAGCCCAAGGCCGCGCCTCAGGCGTGGCTTTAGGGCGGCGTGCAGATCATGAGGAAGAAGGGTTTAGGGCTTTGAGGTTGGGGTTTAGGGTTTAGAGAGGGCACCCAGCGGAGCAATGCAAAAGACGGCATTAATGTTGCGAAGGGAAGCAGCCTTGTCAGTGCCCCGCCGCGCGCCGTGCGCTCAGTAGCGTTGCAGCGCAGCATTGCGCGCTTGGGCCCTTGCGAGGAGGAAAGACTGTGTTGAGATTATGGAAACCTGCGATGTTCCATTGTGCTTCTTGAGGTGCCAACGTTGGTGGTTTCACAGTTCCTCTAGCTGAACGCGTTGGTCCTGATGGACAAGTTCATGCATTCGAACCTTTTCGCAAAGTCTTCCAGCATCTGAATGCCAACGATGCTCAGAATCAAAAGTGCAAAGCAAGCCAACCTCTTGTCGATGTTTGTGGGTTTTTAATGTAAGGCATGTGCATGACTGCATGTCCTGCGGCCCAGTGGGGCTTGATAAGCGTATGGCGATTCAGAGAGTCATGCGATATGGCGGATTGTTTGAGATCCACCGGCAGCAGCCAACCCTAAACCCTAATCCAGCATCAAGCAGCATGCAAAGACAGCAGCACAAGGGCAAACATACAGTAAGTGACAGAAAACAACAACAGCAATAACAGCAAGAAGAACGTAACAAAAACAGTTCAATCGTATCAGTACGAATTAATGTACTAGTAACCACAACGACAACAAGAAATAATGTAATAGTCACCATAAGAAGAATACTAAAACCAATTAAATTACCCAAACCCTAAGCCCTAACCCCCCCCCTAAAACCAAGCAAGATTACCCAAACCCTGAACCCCAAACCCTAAATGACACTAATCCGAGGGTCAGATTAATAAAAGGGACCACATTTAAAGAATTTGCTTTGGAAAAATTAGCCGTCCAAGACTAATTACAATTAGGCGGGATTTCGTATGGAGAAAAGGGACTAGATTTAAAGAATTTTTTGGGGTGACCAATCCTGAAAATCGAGATATTCAATGCATTCCTATTCATTTTTTAATTGAATTCCAGGAACCCCAATCATTCTTTTAATCTGGCACCCTCCATGTCTTATTCTGGCGGGGGGGGAGGGGGGGCCCCCCAAATTAATCAGACCCTAAGATTAAACCCTAAACCCTAACCCCTAACCCCCCCCAAAACCAATTAAGATAACCTAAACCCTGTCGCGAGCCAAGGTGGCCCTGAATGGTTTGAGCAACGTCTATGCCTACAATGTGGCTTTGGGAACACAGGAAGGGGTTTACCGAAATTAGGGGTACCTTTAAAGTGGACATAGGGGTTATGTAGTTAGGTTCACCGTTCTAGGGGCCCCTAAAACTACGGTTATGGTATATTGGTCTGTGCTAGGGTCTGAATATTTTGGGAAGCAACCAGGAAGAGGAGGTGGCTGCATTTGTGCCCGACCTCACCAACTTCAATTTCCCATCTGCGATAAGAGTGCTGGATCAATATGGGCCAGAAAAAGCTGTTGCTGAAGCCAATCTGCGGTACGAAGCGCGCCAGGAGATTCTGACGGTCCGCCCGCTGGACCATTATAAATTTGAGAAGCGCATCAGCCTGATAAAGATTGATGTCGAGTTCCTGGGTTGCTATTAAGGAACTTCATTGAAGTTACTATATTGGGGCAACCATATTAATTACTATAGATACCCATTATGACAACTTAACTTAAGCTCCTTAAATCCCTATATTACCCCAGTTTCCACTTTCTTTTCCATTTGATTCTCCATTATAGGGGCATTATGGTAACTTAAAACCCTAAACCCTAAACCGCAACCCAGGTTCATGGAGTGGCATGTGGTGCGTGGGGCGCGCCGCACAATTCAACAAAGCAAGCCTCTGATCTGGGTGGAGAACGAAGCATACTTCGATGATCCTGCAAACCTGACCTTTGTGAACCTTGGTTACTTTTTTTTTCATAATGCCCCTATAATGGAGAATCAAATGAAAAAGAAAGCGGAAACTGGGGTAATATAGGCATTTAAGGAGCTCAATTTAAGTTACCATAATGGGTATCTATAGTAACGAGTATCCCTGATATAGTAACTTTAATTAAGCTCCTTAACAGCAACCCAGGAACACCATGTACTCCGACTTTGACTATGTGTGTAATCCTATAGCCAGGCCACCCGCCACAGAAGTTTTTGGCCGGTTCTGGTAGGGTTTAGGGTTCTTGAAAGAAAAGACGAGCTGTACGTAGGCTTTGCAACTTTTGATCGAGTGCTTGCCATTCATGTCAAGTGACTTTAATGGGCATGGGAACCCCAAAGCAGGGAACGCAGCAGGAATTTAGTAGGAACCTACCTACCAGGGTCCTTATTATGTATCTCATAAACCCTAAGCCCCGTTCAGGTTAGAGTTGCTCTGCAGCCCGGGCAAAGTTTCGGACGACAAGTTGGTAGCCGATGATTCCCTCCTTCCAGCGGGATTCAAGCGCGTCTTTCGCGCCTGGGCAGGTTTAGGGTTTAGGGGTCATGTGAGCCAGAGTCTAAGCTCCTAGTATCCCCCTTAATAGTGGAGAATCAAATGGAAAAGAAAATGGAAAATGAAATGGAAACTGCTATATATAGGGTTCTGTAGGGGATTATTGGGGTTATAGTCTAAACTCCTAGTATCCCCCTTAATGACCCCTATATAGTAGTCCCTCATTTAATCCCCTACCCCCGTTTAATGAGTTTAGACTATAGCTCCTGCAAGCAGAATGAATCGGGGCTGCTTCATAGCCTCATGGTTATGCACTCTGAATAAGGTGAATATGGGGGTTTCCCAAAAATCGGGGTACCTTTACAGGGGATATTGGGGTTATATAGGGGCTTAGGGCTTAGGGTTTCCCCAAATTACGGGGTGCCTTGTTTCGGCACAATAAGGATTGTAGCATATTGGGGTCTATATTGGGGGTCACCTTGATTTTGGAAACTATCATATGGTAGTTTCCCAAAATAGGGGGACCCAAATGTAGATCCCAAAATATTATAATCCTTATCATTGGGACCCCCAAAAGGGTACCCCTAATTTTGGGAAACCCCCATATTACAGTCTGAGCCTGAGGTCACTTGAGTGGTGAAGTCAAGGATGTCCATCTCTGGAGGGCGCTTTCTGAGGTAGACCCAGGCTTCGCCATGGCGCATGATGCATGACATCTGCTGCAGGCAGAAACGACAAGCACCCTGGGCAAAGAGGAAGAAAAGGAAAAAGCTTGCCAGAACCATTACATTTCTAGACCCCACATTAGAAAGAAACCCTCAAGTTCAAAGGCTATGAATTCGCCAGGATCGCAATGGCTTCAGAAGAACGTGGCCTGCAAGTGACGCGGGGCTCCCCGGCGCGGGCCTCCACTGCACCTTGGCAGAAGCCGTATGCGTTGGTGAATTCAGGCATCCTTCAGCATTGTATTACAATTACACTGGCTATCATTGTTACGATTATTCCCATTTTTCTATTGCCATTATGATTGCTGTTCCTTGTTCACCAGAATTGAGGGTCGCAGACCTTTGAACTTTGTGACCGCTCTGAGGTGCGAGTGCTGCGGCAAAGCCCTGCAGCGGAAGATGTGCTCGTGCGTGTACAGGCATCAAGCTCTCCGAAAGATGCTAGCCGCAAGCCCGAAGATTATAGTCCCTTTTAAGTAGATAGAATATAGGGTATATGGGGATCTTCTTATAATATACCCGAATCCATATTTTATCTACTTAAGGTGGACTACAACCACATGTCAGGCGGCGGCACTTACGCCCACTGATGCCCGGGCCCTCAACCCTAAAAGAGAGCTTCTGAAGCCGGCAGAGCATGAACTCACCGAACAGGTGTAGTTGCTGCATTTTGGGAAGGAGTGTGCACGACCCCTTGTAAAATTTACTGCGGGCTAATAGGGAATAAGAGACTAAAATCGCTATATTATCCATACAGAATATACTCCCTTCTTCCATACCAATTAACCCCAAACCCTAAACCCTATACCACATGTTCCCTTATTCCTTACTAACCCCTTTAAGTACCCTAAACCCTTAACCCCACACCACAAACTCTAAACCCGCAAAGGTCCTCCTATGCCAGCGCGCCATGACTGAGTCCAAAGATGGCCAGCCGGTCGCTTAGAGCCGATCAGTGCGGCAGGTTTTCCTTTGCTGGAGGATTCATAATAGTAGAATTTTCGCGCGGCCGCGCGCCTCCGCGGCCCGCGGCCCGGCGGTGCGATGCACAGCCCGCGGCCTATACGGATAATGTGTTTAGGATGAAAGGGCGCCCAGACCCCGAGGTTGCCGCAATTTCCAGAAATCCAGGTTTTAGTTTTTTCCCCACCTTCATTGTGGGGTTCTAATTGTTTGGATGTACTGTCGCCCACTATGCATGGGCACTCTTCCGTCGCGCAAACATTTGGGACGCACTCTTGTTCGCTTCAACATCGCGCTCTCGCTCGAGACATCCTCAAAAAATCTTTCCTTATTTTCGATCAAAAAATAGCAGACGTCGCCTTTAAAGTAGTCTTGCTAGAGGGGGTCGTATACAAAATTGGTCGCGTCTCTAGTTTTTTGGAATTCGCGCTCCCGTGCGAGACATCCTCAAAATTTTATTTTTTTCTTGCTCAATGATTCATCAAAAAATGTGCTCCCGCGAGACAATTCGATTTTTGCGGTTTGTGATCATCTTCCTATCTTCGAAAATCGCCCCCCTGTGCGGAGCATCCTCGAAATTTTGTCGATTTATCTTCGTCGAATTCGATCAAAATGACCCTCCCGCGTGGAGCATTCGGAAAGTTTGGATCATCTATGAACGATGATGTCGAGGAGTTCTATATCAATTCCATATCAAATCAGTCCCGTGGTACTTCGTTCAAGATAGTTTTCTGGGCTCAGGAGGGCGGCATTTGGCGGAGGTTTCCGATATAGGATTGGTATAGGATTCGCGACGCCATCGTTCAAAATCGCGCTCCCGTGCGGAGCATCTTGAAAATTTGAACAAAATCGCGTTCCAGTGCGGAGCATCCTGATATTTTTATAAAAATCGCGCTCCCGTGCGAAGCATTCTGAAAACATTGAAGAAAATCGCGGTTCCGCGGGAAGCATATTGAAAATTTTGAATGAAATCGCGGGTTCCGTGCGGAGCATCCTGAAAATTTGGAACAAAATCGTGCTCCCATGCGGAGCATCCTGAAAATTTGGAACAAAATCGCGCTCTCATGCAGAGAATCCTCAAAATTGCATCGTTTTTTCGTTCAAAATCGCGTTCCCGTGCGGAACGTCCTGAAAATTACGCCCAAAACTCTTTCAACATCATGAGGGAGCGCACCGTGACACCCAAAACTCCTCAAACATCATGACAGAGAGCAACGTGACGCACAAAACTCCTCAGAAATCCTGAGAAAGCGCGCCGTGACGCCCAAAATTCCTCAAACATCATGA